ATGAGATACAGGTCATTTAGCAGGATATTAAATTTTTTGAATTGAACCCCTTGATATTGCTCTAGCAAAAGTAGCAGTCGTCTCCATGGGTTTTTGGTTTTCTCCATACCATAGGAATGCCGAAGGGTAAAGAGTGTGTTACGTTGTCTCTGTGGGCTTTTAATAAGATTGACGACCAGTTTCTTTTTAATATCTTTTATTAAAGACCAACTAAACTTAATACATGATTATATCTAACGAGCCATCTTCTTCTCTTGTCCGCTGTCAATGTCCTTCACCTGTCACCCATGTTAAGGTAGGTTTACAAATATTAAGGTAGGTTCACATAACATAACAGAGTGTACCTTTTGTCCATTTTCTCAGTAGTTCGACACACTGAAAGCACACTTTGTGTGGAGCCCAAGGTTTGTCTTGATCAGCAAACTTTACAAGCACCAGTAACGTATTTGTTTGCGCTAGTATATAATATTTTACAAGGTTTTTCAATTTTGTGAAAATTTTGACGTGATGAGCAGTGTTTCCATTCAAAAGATATTAATATAATATTGTAATAAAATATTTTCTATCGATCTATCAAGTATTTTAAAGAAATAATTTTAATGCAATTTACGAAATATCAATAAGGTATTTGTTTGCACTAGTACATAATATCTCACATGGTTTTTTTTAAATTTTGTGAAAAATTTGGACGTTATGGGCTTAACTGAATTCATATTCAGAATCAGTGTACCCGTATTAGATAAGGATATATGTCAAACACAAAACACTAAAAATCATGTCGGCCTGTGTTATTATTGAGTCAATATTTGTATTCTTGTACTCTTGTATTTTTTAGGTAGGTTTTTCGAGGAATAGTTTATAAGCTTATAAAATGCGTTGTGCAGTAGCTAGTTGTTTGAGTGATATTCAGACAAGAAGTGCCGATAAATCTGTTAGATTTTATAGTTTTTCCAAGGGCTCAGTAGTGGAAAAACTATGGGTTTTTGCTTGTTGCCGTGATGACAGATTTAAAACTAAAACTTCAAGGATTTGTTCCAAACACTTTAAGCCGGATGATTTTAAAAGAAATTTGCAGTATGAATTGCTGCAAAATCAAAGAAAGGACCCAAACTGAAGGGTGATGCATTGCTTTCTCTTCATCTACCACAATCAAAAAGCTTATCCATAAATCAACTTTAAAAGGCACGAAAGGTTTTCAAAAGGGAATCAAAGAGGATTGTGGAACAGATTATTATACAATCTAGATAACCATTATTATATTCTACATTTTTTGGCAGAAACAGTTTAAGTATTACGACATAAAAGTAATATTAACATTTATTTTTTAGTTTTACAGCTGGAGAACCAGGTGTGGACTCAGTGTGTCAATAACTCAAAACTGATTTACCTGAAACTATAAAATCAGTGGGGTATGTAAAATGTTCTATATGTTCTTTAATATGCTCTGATCAGTTGTCTGAAAGAAAACATATTAGTCTCAACTTCATGAAATGCTACTACTACTACTATACATACTAGATTAAAAATATGATTTTTGATTTTAGAATAAATACAGATATGAAACCTGTACAAGATCTTGGACTTCAAAAGTTACGTGTCAAGAACAAAGCCTTATTTCAGCAGGTTAATGAATTAATAGAAATAAAGTCAGGAGTAGGTAAAATATTTACCAAAATACAGCTAAAAAGACTGCAAAGGCCCAAAGTCAGGGAAAAATTATTTACAAAGACTAATTGACTTATAGGAGAACATTGAATGTGACTACAAAATCAAACATCTGATCTTCCGATCTCGAATGTATTTTAGAATTAAGAAATTAAACCTAAAACTAGAAGAAAATATAAAAATTAAAAGAAAATTAATAAAAATTGTAACTTAAAACCTTGTGTTTGATTTGTTTTCCGATTTTAGTGCAGACAAGTAATGATCAATTATTTTCTTCCGTTTACGTCCAACTATAACCTCCACCATGATGCTTCTTCAGACACGTTTCTTATAAACAAATCCAATATCTGTCAGAAGTCTGTATAAAGTAGAAAGAGACAACGGCTGTATATTCTCATTACCTTGTATGAAGTTATGTATATGCTTTAAGAATGGCGGCAAATTTTTCATGAAAAATTCACAATGAACAATTCTCCGTAGAATACTTCTTACACCCTCGTCATATGTGAATATTCTAGATTTTGATTGACACACTCGTTTTTTACGTTTTTTTGGCGATTTCAACGTTCCACTCTGTTCTTTTTCTTTTTTGAAATTGTCAATGCTTCTTTCACTAACACCAGTCATCAACGAAGTACGTCTTACAGTAGCACTTACATTAAGTTGTTCCGTATTTTGTAAAAAACACAACACATTTAACACGACGAGTTTAGCGCAACCGTTAAATAATTCACTGGATTTAAACTTATGGGACTCCATGCTCTCTGTTGAAACTCGGACTAAATTTTGAAGTGTAGTTTCGTTTTCCAAAAGCACTTTTACCCCCTACCCATCCTTAGGATGGGTAGGGGGTGAAATAGGGAAAGCTTAGAGTTTATCAAATACTAATTATGACAAACAAGTTTATGGCCATATTTAGGTGATTATGTTAATGATGGTAATTTGTAGCAGAAGTTTTACAAAAGAAATGAAGACCTATTTATAGAAACAACATAACTGTATTTTTAATATTTTACATACAATAGAAAAAATCTAATTGCTATGAAAAAATTGGAAATTTGAATATTATATATACATAATATCTATAAATACTATCATTTCCAAGTTTCCAAATTCTTTCCTAGAAATTATGTAGGTTTTTTCTATTTTATGTAAAACATTAAAACTACAGTTATTGTATGTTGTTCTTGTAAAGAGGTATTCAAATGTTACTCTTATGAATATGATTCAATTGTATATCTCATGTTGCCGTTTTATATGCAAAATTCATAGTTTTCGTTGTCAATAACTCATCAATGCCTTTTTATTCTACTGTATACGTATACATGATATAAAATATTGTACTCGTACTGCCAGGCAGATGCATTTTACCCAAGCCGGTCCTGTGAGACAATGAGCAATCAACAGCTGGAGAAAACTGACAACCCTGCGCGTTTATTCTCCATAAGAAAAGCATTGCCGTATCTTACCCGTACTGCACTCTCAGGGTAACATTTTCTATAGATAAAGGCTTTTTTTCCTTCTCGACACTGGCGCCAAATCAGACAATACAATCAAAAGCGAGCTCGAAAAACGCAAAAAACGCACAAATTTATTTTACAGACCTATTATTTTTTTCACTGTATTATTTACTATTTTTTTAAATCAAAATAATAAAACACCTATATTTCAATAAATCCGAAATAGTTTAATAGAAACTCTGTGAATATATTAAAATGATTTTTATTCCCAATTAAAAATTAATTATGTTCCGATTGCTAACGTTCTTATGGGGAATATTTAAAATCACTCTCATTGTGACGTACCTAATGCGCGAACATGTCCCAATATCGTGCTCGGGAGTATCATATCTGTTATTCTTTGTACCATGCCCGCAGGCATACAAATGACTGCGATAGTAGATATACCTGGTTCGGCAGAGACTATTCTACCAACTTGTTTTCGACCTCTTTTGGCAAGACTCTTACAGATTTTTTCTGGTACTCTACTCACAGACGTCTAATCAACATTACATATCTTGAGTGGGGGAATAGCGTTATATCCAATAAGGTCTTGGGCAAAGTGAAAAAATGTGTTGCGACAGTTCTGTTAAAAGTTCGACTGCGAGCGGGCGATGTTACTTCAGGAAATCTTAGTGAAAGTATAGGTTGTCTTGTGCGAAAACCCTTTAACCAGTCTTCACCAGCAAGTTTTGTTTGGTCCGAAAATCTATGTACAATAGTATTCCCAAGTGCGAATTGGTACGCCATAGACCTTACGTATTTGGTGATAAGGCCACACATTCGGCTTCCCTTGTCGAGAATATAGGTTACAAGCTGTTTTTCTTGCTCCTAGGTGAATATGCTAGTTTTGCTTTCAAGTCTCTTTAAATAATTCGTGTCTAATTTTTTCTCCTTAAAACGGCTCTTCAAACTCATCAACTGCACCTTAAAAATTGTTTGCTACTATTTTGTATGCAAGACCAATTTACACACTTTCTATAGCTTTCTGAATTTTATATTTGTCCCATTTTGCCAATCGGTCTTCTGGTCTGAAAAAAAATCAAGTGACCTATATTTCCATCATATTTTTTTTACTAGAGAGTTCAAAATAATCCCGGGATCATTTAAACCCGACACCATGGGGGATCATTTTGCCCGAATGAGCACACCTTTCTCGCAGCCATGTTTATTACGTAGCGTCCAAAGTTTAGTATTTCGTAAACATCTCAAACTATCGGCAAAATATTGGATTTACAGCAACTATATCGCAATTGAAACATTTGTACTTGTTTAAAAGTAAAATTACAATAGTTTTAAGAGACTCACCTTATATCAAACTTATACAAAGTCACTGTTTACTCTAAATTTGGGAAATTAGATGTTTCTACGCTAGGGGCTTATATTTAATTGACTGTGGAAGTACGTTAGGTGATCGGTACGCCACTACAAAAAATGTGAAGAGGCATGAGCTGTTTGGTGTAGTGAGTATGTGGAATACCTTATTCCTCATTTTGGCTCCCTCTTGTAACATGTGCAGTTGCATACTTTTTTCTGCCTGTAAATTCATGAGGCACGTTGCATCAACTTATTAATAATATTAAAAACTCTTAAAAATAATAATCTTAAAAATTCGCATTATCTCTGCTATCTACATGCCTACGGCCACATAGTTATCAGAAAACTTGAAAACTATATTAATCTGCACAGATATTTTGAAAACCTACAAATCTATTTTCACCGATTATCAAATAGTAGTGGCATAAACAGTACCATTAAGTTAGTATAATTTTTTTAAGTATCCATCTCTATACAACTCAAGCACTTAAATACTGAGTTGTATAGAGACTCAATTACAAACTGAGAAGTGAGTGTTACAGTGATTACATATTTCTATCTGCATTCAATACAGAAAACAGTAGTTAGTTACGTACTAATATTTTAATCTGATCGTTTAATATTAGAGTACAAACCATTGATAATTTAACAATGTCTGAATGTAATACAGTGACCATCCGCAAGGCTGAATTAGACGATATGCCGCAAGTATTTCAAATGATAAAGGTATGTTTGCATTGCAACAATATTATTTGAAATAAACTTACACTTAACATTTTCAAGGTTATTTGTAAATTATCTTGATACAGAAAAGTATAGAGATGGGTAACATACTTTAATTAACAGTTATATTTCTAATATGTTATTTAGGAACTCTCAGACTTTGAAGACATGGGTCACAAGGTAAAAATTGATGTAGAAATCTTGAAAAGGGATTTGGCAGAAAAATCTCCTGCTTTCCAATGTATCGTAGCAGAAGTACCTGATGGCAAATTAATAGGATATGCTGTGTATTCTCAGATTTACTCAACTTTTGACGGCAAAACTGTGTACTTAGAAGATTTGTACGTTAGTCCAAAATACAGGTAATCCTAATATAAATAAAAAATAGTTAATGGTGCCATTTTAATACACTATTCGATTCTGTAAGAAAATAATATACAAAATAAAATAATAATAATTACCCTCGACACCTAACGGTAGAAGGGGGACGATTATGTATGTATGTGTAGAAAATAAGCAATTTTTGATGGGTTAAGGAATAGATATTATTGATTAAATTAAAGATCTGTATTCTGAAGAATTGTCTCCCATTTAACAGTTACTGAATCCAACAACACTAATTCCAAAATAATAAAAAGTTGAACGTAGCTGATGAAAATTTCTGGGGGAAGCGTAAGACCCTCTGTAAATGTGGTGTGGAGTACATAAGTTGGAAGCAATCTCTTCATAAGTCAAAATCAAATCAAATAAAAAGTTCACCTATATTAATGATTACTAATAACTCATAATTACACATTAGCAGATGTATTTGATTTATTATGGTGTATGTGGCAACATACTGATGGCGACATGTGATTTAAAAACCTTTTTATATTATTGTGTTATCTCTCGATTTTAAGCGATAGATATATTTTATATACAGGGTGTCCCATATTAATTGGACATTAGCTAATGGGTGATAGCTGACATCAAAATAAAGCGTTTGAGCTCAAATTGCTTAGGAAAAATGTTGCTAGTTTTCGTTCTACAGGGAGATTCATTAATATTTTTTTATATTATTTTTATGGATATATTGAAAACTATTCAACCGATTTAAGTGAAATTTGGTATCTTGCTATTATTTAGTATGCTTAATAAGAAAATGATATTAGTTTTACCATTGACACTAGGTGGCGCCACCTACTGTAACATTGGTTCATTAATGGGGCCATAATTTTTTTGTCCGCCCTGTATAAACATTCTAGGAAAAAAAACATGAAATAACATTCAATTCTACACAAAAAAGGTATTCTTGTTTCAAATCAAAAAAGTACACCGTTTTCGAAATAAACGTATTTTGTTAATGATGCATGTCTCTATTTAATTTTTTGCAAAACAAGTATGCTTTGAACTTAATGACAACGTCAAGACGTAACTACGAATTTATTTATTATTAGTTGTCAAAGGTAACTACGAATTTATTTATTATTAGTTGTCAAAGTGCAGTGCGAGTCATTATTTGTCAAAGTGCTATTAAGTTTTTTATAAACCACTTAAGATAAAGGAAAAATGCCACGTCATAGTGAATTTTCTAATGTAGAAATGCGCGATATGATCTGTTTGTATGCCCAGGAAAATTTTTGTTCTCGTAAAGCAGCTGAACTCTATTTCGAACTTTATCCCAATAGAAGGCAACCAAACCATAAAACTATTAGATCATTGTTCGACAGATTAGGCGAAACAGGGTCATTTCATCCCAAAAACAGGAATGCTGGAAGACCGAGAGTAATTGATGCGGATATGGAGGATGAAATTGTTGTGCGTGTTGCAGAAGATCCAGAAACCAGTACAAGGCTTGTTTCTGCGGCCACTGGTATAAGCAAATCTACGGTGTCAAGAATAATACGGACAGAAAATCTGTATCCGTATCGTTTTACTCCAGTACAGAATCTTTTACCACAGGATTTTCCAGCAAGGCTCCGATTTAGTCAGTTTATGATGGGGCGGCATTTAGACGATCCAATGTTTTATAATAAAATTTTATTTACCGATGAAGCCACATTTACTAGAAGGGGTGTATTTAACTGGCGCAATAGCCATACCTACGCGACAGAAAATCCTCATGCATTTCAAGAACATCATTTTCAACACGAGTTTTCCATAAATATCTGGTGTGGCATATTTGGGGATTGTATTGTAGGACCATTCGAATTACCAACTAGGCTTGACGGAGTAACGTATCTAAATTTTTTGAGAAAAGATTTACCAACTCTTTTAGAAGACATACCTCTAAATTTGAGACGGAACTCTTGGTACATGCATGATGGTGCACCACCACATTATAGCCTAGAAGTTAGAAATTATCTAGATGAAATTTATCCTCAAAGGTGGATTGGTAGAGGTAGTGTATACCCATGGCCAGCACGCAGTCCCGAACTAAATCCCCTAGACTTTCACTTGTGGGGCTACCTAAAGTCACTTGTTTATAAAAAAAATAAATAACCGTCAAGAGTTATGGCAAAATATTGTAGAGGGAGTTAACGTAATTAGGGCCCAAAGAAACTCATTATTTAAAATAAGACAAAACTTACACAAAAGATTTAGATTATGTAGTTTATCTAATGGTGCACATTTTGAACACTTATTGTAATTTTTTTTCGTTTCGTTTTGAATTATTCACTTTGTTAATTGTTTTATATTCACTTCATTGTTTAATTTAATTTCTGATTTTTTTAAAATTTGTTACTGAGTCAAAGGTTTAATAAAAATAATTGTTTCAATCATATGCATTTTGTTTGCAAAAATTATCTACTACTAATACATTTAATATTCACTTTTATTTAAGACCTTTTGAATAATGTTTGAATTTACATAAGTTTTTGTAAATTTTTTTTATTTTATGCACGTCTCTAAAAAATACGTTTATTTCGAAAACGGTGTACTTTTTTGATTTGAAACAAGAATACCTTTTTTGTGTAGAATTGAATGTTATTTCATGTTTTTTTCCTAGAATGTTTATACAGGGCGGGAAAAAAATTATGGCCCCATTAATGAACCAATGTTATAGTAGGTGGCGCCACCTAGTGTCATCGGTAAAACTAATATCATTTTCATATTAAGCATACTAAATAATAGCAAGATACCAAATTTTACTTAAATCGGTTGAATAGTTTTCAATATATCCCTAAAAATAATATAAAAAAATATTAATGAATCACCCTGTAGAACGAAAACTAGCAACATTTTGCCTAAGCAATTTGAGCTCAAACGCTTTATTTTGATGTCAGCTATCACCCATTAGCTAATGTCCAATTAATTATGGGACACCCTGTATAGAAAGTATAACTACCAACAATTTTTGTGACTCTATCAGACTATTTACAAAATCTCGTATGCCCAGCAATTTATAAATAAGTAAAGGTCCCTTTTTAATTGTATAAAGATCTTTCTTTTGTATTAAGATTGTATAAAGATCGTTTTTTAATGATTTTATAAACAAATTTCATATTATATTTTAGGGGTTTGAAAGCCGGTAAAAATCTCTTTCTGACTGTCATGAAAAATGCTTATCAAGATGGCTGCAGACGCGGTTTTTTTCACGTTCTGACATGGAACCCAGCTGTAAAATTCTACCACGAACTAGGAGCCGTTAATGTTACCCAGAGAGACAACTACCAAATATTAAGAATGGAACAAGAAGTCTTTCAGAAACTATTTTCTTAATGTACTTGTTATAATTTAATAAACGGTAAAACACTTACAATGCAATCTTGTAATTTTTCACTATATTTTTCTATTATAAAGAATCATTAGAGTAATCTATTTTTAAATTGTATCTACCACTGTACAGGTAAATGTCAGAAAAGGCCAGAAGGGTGGCTATGAGCAATTTTTGATGAAGATAATTTTAAAAATAGATTTTTTTAATCTTCTGAGCTGAATAAGTCACATTATCTTACAATGTGGATGTAGAATGATGTGAATTATTAAAGATGTGAAAAAACTTGACATTATTATATTGTGAATACTCTTTTTTCAATGAAACTAAAATTTTAATTGACTTGATCTAAAATATAGCAAATAATCGCCATGTTGTTAAATAATAATTTTTAGAATTATACAGTGCAGGTGTATTGATGAGGAATTTTAAAATGTAAATTAAATTTCGAAATAAATACTTAATAAGTAATAATATCTGTTTTATTGGTTCCGTATTCTGTGTTCGACATTCTTCTACATACAGATCATATATCATTTTTATAGTTGGATTACTGTTTAAGTATTTCGTTTTGATATTTGAATAATGACTTTGCTAAACCGAAAAAGTTTTTATATGCCTGACAATATCAGAATCATCCAATTTTCTATAGTAGAAGCCACACTTAGAATGCCAGTGCAGGATAGATATAATGTATTTCTCGAGAACAGCCGACTACGTTGCCGGTTTAACCCGAGCAGCGCGTCAGGACCGGATTTAAAAATCATAGCACTGGAATATACGCGCACAAAACAATTACCTAGGATTGTATACAAGACTATTGTTTCAACTAAAGCATAATTTTTGACCAGCATGATTGACCAGTTTATGCTCCAACTGAAAAAGCAACCGATGAGGAAATAAATACTTTTTACGAAGACCTTAAAAAAGCTATAGACAACAACAAAAAATCCAAAATAATAATAATGGGAGACATTAACGCCAAAATTGGAAGTAAGATTGAAGACTCTGAAAGCACGATAGGAAATTTTGGATTTGGCACAAGAAACACAAGAGGAGAAAAACTCACGGAATTCCTGGAACAAGAAAACATGTATGTTATGAATACCTTATACAAACAGAAACCTAACAGAAAGTGGACATGGGTCCCACCTAACGGGACTACCAAAAATGAAATAGACTATTTTCTCTCTCAAACAACAAAGGAATATTTGAAGACGTCACAACAAATAAACAACGTAACAACGGGTAGTGACCATCGTATAGTCAGAGCAAAATTAAATATTAACATGAAAGAAGAGAGAAAAAATGGTTTAAAAAAAAACAACGGGGATAGATGCCTTTAAACTAAAAACAAATTGAAGAGCAATTCCGAGAGGTCTTAGCGGATAAGTTCGAATTTGGTACTTCACATAATCAATGAATAAATAATAAATGCTAAAGAAGACAAAATAAGGAATGAAACTAAACAACTAATGATGGAAAGAAGACAACTACTAGCGCAAAACAATCGCTATACTAAGAATACAGACTACTTAATAAAACAATTAGAAAAGAACTAAAACGCGACATACAAAATGGAATGAGCACTTAATAGAGCGAGTCATTGAAAACAACAGCGGCTTAAAAATATCTAAGACCCGCACTGGGAGTTCAAAAAATCATAACAATTAAAGACGCCAACAATCAGCAAGAGAAGGACAAATATAAAATAACAAATATTGTCGAAGACTTCATACACATCCTTGTATAGCTCGCAAAGCCAGCCTAATGAAACAACAAAGGAGAACGTCAAAAGAAAAATAAAAACGTGGGATCAGAAGTTACTACTAAATATAAAGGGATTCGAAATAGAAATAGCTTTAAAAGAGCTAAAAAATAATAAAGCTCCAGACACGAATTCTCCATAATAGCAAGATCCCTAAAGACTGGAACGAGAGTCTAGGAATACTCTTACACAAAAAAGGGGACAAATGTGATCTGCAGAATTACAGACCTATATCGTTTATCAGTCAAATATACAAATTATTTATGAGAATTATTAACAACAGGTGAACCTACAAAATGGACAATTACCACCGGTTGAACAGGCTGGTTTCCGCAAACGATATAGTACATCAGACCATCTGCTGACAATGAGAACATTGATAGAGAAGGCAAATGAATACCAACTACCCGTATTTCTTGCCGTCGTCGACTATGAAAAGGCGTTTGATAGTATCGAAATGTGGGCTATATAACAAGCTATTAATAATTATAGGCAACTAGTACATAAGATTTAAAGATTTAAGATTGAAAATGCAACTATGATAGTACAACTAGACGAAAATACAAACCCCATCCCCATTAAGAGAGGAGTGGGACAAGGAGACGTAATATCGCCAAAGCTTTTCAACCTAGCCCTAGAAGACGTCTTCAAAACTACAAATTGGTCAACCTATGGCATTAACGTTAATGGCAACAAGTTAAACCACCTTAGATTCGCTGACGACATAGTGATTATAGCGAACACATTCGAGGAACTGCAAATTATGATGGAGGAACTAGCAGTCACCTCCCAATACGTCGGCCTAAAAATAAATATGAAAAAAACAAAAATAATGACAAACACAAACGACCACAGACGTATAACTATAAATGGCAGTGAGATAGAACAAGTCCAGGAATATATCTACCTAGACCAAATCCTGAAACTTGACAAAGAGAACCAAAGTGCGGAAATTACTAGAAGAGCAAGACTTGCTAGGCAGGATTTGGAAAACTTAGTTGGATACTTAAGAACCGCAAAATACCCCAATACTTGAGGAGCAAAGTGTTCAACCAATGCATCCTTTCTATCATGATATATGGATGTCCAACCTGGACCCTAACCAAGGCAAACATGAATAAACTAGCCACAACAGAAATAACAATGGAAAGAGCAATGTTAGGTATACGACTGTCAGATAAAAAGAGGAATGACTGGGTAGAATCAAAAACAAAAGTCGAGGACATAACAACAAAAATTGCCAAACGTAAATGGAGCTTCGCGGGCCACACTGCTAGATAAAATGACCAACGTTTTAATACTACAATACAACATTGGAGACCTTAGAAAAATAAACGACCAAGAGGAAGACCACAGATGAGATGGGTTGATGACATTAAAAGAATAGCCGAAAAAAATTGGCAATATGTTGCTCAGAATAGAGACCAATGGAAGGAGTTGGGAGAGGCCTATGTCCAAACATGGACGATAGAAGGCTAAGAAGAAGAAGAAGAAAGCATGATTTAATCATCGATCTATAAATAAGAGAGTTACATTGTCGAACTAAAACAATAACACGAAGAAAATACTACAAAAAAGAAAAATATACCAAAAGCTTATTATCGATAGCTTATCTATATTAATTAATTTTCAATAGCTTCGATTGTAAACACATTATATTATATCAGGGATTCTACAGTACTCACTGCCTTTCCTCACTCAACTCTCGAATATTCGGGGTCGTCTTTTTTCTCCTTCCTATGGGGCTCTAATTTGCTGTAGTTACAGCCAACCTTCAATAATGGAGAAGTCACCTTAAGAAGAAGATGGGGCTCCATTCGGTTATTCTCTTTATCCACCTACTGTCGTTAGGTTTTCTTACATGTCCATTCCACTTTAGTCTTTCTTGTTTTGTACATGTTAGTTTGTTTGTTTCTATTGATGTTCTTTGCTTTATTTCGTCATTACTTCTCCTATCCATTCTTGTTACTCTACAGTATCTTCGAAGGCATTACATCTCTGTTATTACTATCTTACTACTGTTTTTCTTGTTTATATTCCATTTTTCAGCCCATATGTCAGAATACTTCGCACTAATGTTTTATAAATCTGTGTTTTTGTCTTTATATTTAGGTGTCTATCCCACCATACTGAGTTAAGTTGTGGGATTCCGTGCTTGTTTGTCCTACTAATTTCTTAATTATGTCTTCCTCTGTTGTTGCTTCTTTCGTGATTATAAACCACAAGTATTTGAATTTATCCTTTTCTTTGATTGTTACGTTGTCGTCAATCTGTAGATCTTCTATGTCTTCTTCACTTGTAGATAGGTACTCAATTTTCGCGAGGTTAATATCTAAGCCAGCCTTGGTATATTTTTCTTTAGTTCCTTCATCATGTAACTGAAGTATTCTTGGTCTTGGGCAATCACTACTTGATCGTCTGCAAAGCTTAACGTATATAGGTATTCGTTTCGTACCGGTACTCCTATGCCTTCGAATTTTCTTTTCCATGTAGTCAAGGCTTTCTTTAAGTATATTTTGAATATGGTTGGAGATGTGGAACAACCAGCAAGCGGATAAAAGTACCTACATCATGAAGCCGTTGTCAGTATGTCGTGAATTTCAAACAGGATATGACTCTTAGTGTGCATGTTACACGTGTGGTATTAAATGCATTGAACCATCATCTTGAAAAAATGTTGGACAGACTGACTATTAATGTAGAAAAAGTTTCGAAAATGTGTGGTGTGAGTGTTCGCAAAATTTATGACTTGCGCGAAGAGGCCCAGTAAGACGAACTCAAACGGGTACAAAAAAGGAAGAAAAACAGTTTCCAGTCCAATTGACGTCACAATACTTACGATGTTGGAGTGAAATCTCGAATAAGGAAAATTGTCCTTGATTGACGACCAACCGTCGACAGTATAATGAACAGACTTAAGGCTGTTTTATCGGTGCACCAAAACTAGGATCTGTTATTTACCGACAAAATGTCTCGAAATTTGTGCACAATATTCCAAACTATGCTGCTTTTAAAATGATGGTTTTTACTTTTTTTTATTTTTTTGTTACTTCTGTTGAAAAATTGGATTATACTGTTTAACGTTCTATTATAACCAAACTTTTTACGCCCATCGCTTTAAAGATTTTTTTTTCTGTAATCGTTGATTTTTTTTCACTTTTCTGTATCCAGTAATAATCGAGAAAAGCGTGTTCAAACTTTGAAGAAAAATTGCTAAAAAATACTAAAATTTAATAGTGAAACGTGTTACTCATCATTGTCGCTTAAGGTTCAGCGTTATCGCCTTCGTGACTTCAAATCTCATGAGAGTACGGTCAGTTAGTTCGTGTTTAAACTAATTTGAATGGAGAGTAATGCATTTGTTGCCCGTTGGCCGACGCCACTGAGTAAAGATAGTCTCGCGTAAGCAGTGTAGAAATGTAAGTGATACGCCCATTTTAAATCGCAGTGTGCTTAAACTGCTTAAACAGCCTTAAGGGCGAGCGCCCACCAAAGTGGCGTGGCAGTGGCAAGTAGCAAGTAGCACGCGTCTAGCATAATGTAACCAATCCAAACGAATGATTAGAATGAATGACGTTACTGTCATTTTGGTGTAAACTGAATCATTCGTTTTCATTGGTTACATTATGCTAGACGCGTGCTACTTGCTACTTGCCACTGGCACGCCACTTTGGTGGGCGCTCTCCCTTAGGATGATAAGGACTTATCAATTTTTCAAAAACCACATTTCGTAGGCTACTAAATGACATGGGTACCAATCCCATAAAGATAAACATTTTTCTTCTTTTTATTCTATAGATATAGTTTGTAAGTTTGCAGCTTTATTTTTAAGAATATATTAACTATAATAAGTAACTAAATTTATATATTGATCCCATCTCTAATAAGTGAATGAGTGTCGTCAATGATAAACAACTTCAAGCTGAGTGAGAGAAAAAGTACATCGGCAACCGGCAGATTTTATTAACAGATATATCTAATAGTTTACTTGGTATTGGTACATTACAGTTTTGTACAACTAATTTAAATAAATAATTTATTTGAATTTTATAATGGCCGAAAGTGATACTAAAGATGTAATTATCCGAAAAGCTGAAGTAAGAGACATGATGCAAGTATTCCAAATGATAAAGGTATGTTTTAAATTATTGTTAAAGTAGCTTATCATATACAAGGTCAAAGTCACAGTATTTATGAACATTATCTTGACAGTTGCAGCTGGTATCTCAACAACTATTTTTAACAATTCAAATAGATAAATATATAGAGATAACGCTGTTATTTTTAGTGTGTAACTGTTACATCTGAACAACATACATGATTTAATGTACAACATTACATAAAATACATAAAATTAGGATGGCGATCTTACTACCATTTCGAGCGGAATTAGCAATTTAACAAATGGGCTGCCAACGTCCAATATACTGAGCGCAAGGGTTTCTAATGAGAGCTCACTTCCAGTTAACCAGTTAACTGGACGCCCATTTGATGTTAAATAATATATTGTTATGTGTTTCTTTAAACGGTGGAATCTTGCACTATATCACAGATTTTGAAACGGTCTCTGACCTATGATTTGCGATAGAAATATTTTAGGTAAACGATATTTTCAGCTTTGAGTTTTCAATATGCGCCGTCAAGTTTTTCAAGCACTTGAAAATTGCTTATAGACTATTATTGTGCCACAATAAAATCATAAATCAATGAAAATCAATATGAATTTTGTCGTTGGCGAGTAGTGATACACTTTTTTGCGAGGAGTACCTACTAACGGAGACGATTTGAACATGCCAGAGTAAGTACTTTTAATCAGTTTATTAGGTTTTGAATACCCTTAGGCCTTAAGGGATTATGTAGATTAGAGGTGGTTTTGTGACTTTATCATAGTATGAGAGAATTTTATTTATAAGAGTAATTTGGAGCATACCTATATTGTTTTAGATGAAAATATTTATGAATTTAGTTGTAATGTTTCTTTTGAGTATGAGTTCTTGTGAAATGGAGTAAAATAGAAATATCTTTTTGTGTGTTTGTTCCTATGCATTATTATTTCACTAAGTAGATTAATCGTTTTTTCTTCAAATTCATGTAGTCTGTTTTTTATCAAAAATATTATTTGTTTTCAGGACAAGCGTTTAACTAAGAAAAGTGAAATTAGGGATGATAGAAAGAAACCGTTTACGCAGGCAGAATTAGAGAAGTATTGGTATAACTCAAGTGGCGGTGAATGGGATTTTTCTAGTGCTAATGACGTAGCTGACAAGAACTACTACCCCTCAAATGCATCCAGTAGAAGCAGTTTAAACTCGAACAATGCAGCAGAAAAATGAACCTCTACCTTTCTGTGACTCTGATACCCAAAATGAAGATCCATTAGCAGATAATTCTCCAAGAGTATCACCTCTACCTAATAATGGTAACAATGACGATTGGACAGATACGGAAGAAGACCCTGGTGATATGCATTTTAATGTAAATCCTCGAATCAATGTCAATTTGACGCCTGAAGCGCAACCTATTGACTACTTGTTTCAATTTTTTACAACAACATGTTTCAACGAATTACTAATGAAACAAACAGAAGAGATAATGAGGTAATAGTAGGTGTCGTTGTAATAGTAGGTCCCTGAAAGAAAAAACAATGGAAAAACATATCTGTCTAGAAAATGAAATAGTTTATTGGATTTTGCTGTCTCAGTAGCACAGTAGTTTTCCCACAACTCACGAAACAGTGGAGTAAATATCCGCTACAGTATCATCCGATTTTTTGTCGTACGATGTCCAGAAATAGATAACATATGATTGCAAAAATGTTACGATTTTATAATCAAGATTTTCTTAATCATACTGATAAAATTTTTAAAGTTCGTCCAGTTTTAGACATGATATCGGCAAATATCAAAAAACTTTTCTATCCCGGACCACATTTATCAACAGATGAGTCTATGATAAACCGACAGGTCCGCTTATCTTCAAAGCAGTATTTAGCCAACAAAGTCATAAGATAAAAGATACGTTAGTATTGTAAGCATAAAACATAAACATGAAATAGAGGAAATTCAAAGTCAAAGAGGCACCAAAAAAATAAAACCATGTTGTGTAGATGATAGAAGAAATATGTCCGGTATAGACAGGTCGGACCAAATATTAGCTTATTATTTAACCCCCCGAAAAACAATACGTTGGTATCGGAAAATATTTTTTTCATTTAGTGGATGTAGCCATATGGAGTGGATGTTACATAAACAAAACATTATAAATACAAATATTATACTTCTAAAATTTAAAGAAAATGTTATAATGGCTTTGATTGATGAAAACGACTTCAATAATGTAAGACAGTCCAATCTTTCGGAGAACTTCCATTATGTTGAAGCAAATCCTCACAAGTCAAAGGATAAAATCCCGATGTTAGATGTCGTCAGTACAAAAAAAGGAAAACAAGATATTTTTGTCCAGTATGCGGAGCGCGACCGGACCTTTGTGCCACTCCATGTTTCAAAGATTACCATCTGAATAAATAAAATAAATGCGTTTTTATTTAGTGCTTCTTTATATATTTTTTGCTTTATTAAGAATGTTATTTTTAATTTGTTTTTTTTTTCACTCTGTTAATTTCCTTGGTTTTGTTTCTTGATTTAAGTTTAGATTTTTTGTAAGTTTAAATAGTTGTTTTTATTTCTTGTCATATTCTAAATACTAATGAAAAAATCAGTTTTTTGCGTGTCCAGTTAACTAGACACTAATAACTGGAATAAATATTGAAAGAATATATCAAAGTCCAGTTAACTAGACCAGTGATTCTCAACCTGTGGTCCGCGGATCACAAGTGGTCCCCGAACGGTTTTCATGTGGTCCGCAAAGTGAACAGTCATAAAATAATAATCAATTTAAATCTTGGCTATTGAGGCGTAAATTAATGCGTCGACCTATTTTTTTTTTTTTTAAACTCAAAACGTTTCCAGACGACCAAACGCGCCTGAACACAGGTTCATTCCCTCAATCTTCCGCGTATTTTCCTCACGCGCCGAATAGTTAGTTCCGTTATCTTCGTTTAGTTTCGGCCGATGCCGTGTACGTACAGGACACTGCGTCTTTGATCGCGCCACTACTCAGTGACTCAGTGCTGACTCAACTGTCAAGTGACGAGCGTGCGTGTTTTTTGCTTGGTGATTGTAGTTTACTAAAATGAGCAAATAGATGAAACTTTCGGCTTTTTTTAAGAAGACAGATAGTGAGAACGTTAAGGCAGGATGGTCTACCACTGATAGCACAATATTAACTCAAACTGGTCCTAAAAGAAAGGCTGCTAACCGTAAGTATAATTCCACTACATAGCATGTGGATTTACGTTCATTGAAGAATTTGGTGTCCAGTTACCCCAATGTGTAATTTGTGCGAAGGTATTAAGTAATGAGGCAATGAAGCCGGCAAAATTAACTAAACACTTTGAAACAAAGCATAAACATTTTGCCGGAAACATGTAGATTTCTAGAGGAAGCAGACGGAACTAAAATCGTCAAAAAATATCTTAAGTCATACTCAACTTACGATAAAGCTATTTTGAAGGCGTCATATCAATTTTCACTTAGAATCGCAAAAACCAAAAAACCCTTTACTGTTGGTGAGGAGTTTTATGTAAAATCGTAGATGCAACTAAAACTAATTTTAGGCGATAAATACGCTAAACCAATGCAAAATATTCCTCTTTCCAATGATACCGTTAGTAGTAGAATTGAAAGATATGGCATGTTGAAACTCAACTTCTAAAGAAAATTCATTCTTCAAAGATTTTTGCTGTACAACTTGAATCTACATATTACCAATAAAGCTATTCTTCTTGTTTATATACGATTCATAAATTCATATACGATAAAGACAACAAAAAAATTATCTGAGGAGTTCCTGCCCTCGATTGAGTTGCAAGGTAACACAACCGGAGAAGACATTTTTAAAGCCATTGACGGATATTTCACACTTACAAATCTTTCTTGAAAAGACTGTGTAGAACTTTGCTCTGATGGTGCCGCGGCAATGACAGGTCACAAAACAGACTTGCCAAGTTTTGTAAGGAAAAAAGGAAACCGTGATATTGTTTAAATACACTTTATTATTCATCGCGAAATGCTTGCTGTCAAAAGATTAAGTCCCGATCTAAACAAGGTTTTGACTACTGTGGTAAAGGCCGTGAACTTTATAAAAAGTAATGCTCTTAGTTCGAGATTGTTTGCTTTGTTATGAAAGGACATGGGATCCATACATTCCAATCTCCTTCTACATACCGAAATTCGGTGGATGTCTAGGGGCCGGGTTTTAGCCAGATTTTGTAAACTTAGAGAAGAAGTATGTATGTATCTTGAAAAAAAACTGATTTAGCGGAAACAAACACTGCGTGACGGAGAGTTTATGACCCAATTAGCATTTTTAGCAGATATTTTTGAAGAGCTCAACATATTGAATTCTAGGCCTGCAAGGACCAACTAAAACCGCATTTGACATTTGGAAAAAGATTGATTCATTAAGAAAAAATTGTTGCTATGGGAGTCCGAAGCTGGAAAAGGATCGTTTAAATTGTTAAACTTGTTTTCAAATTTTATCTCTGAAAATGAAGGCTTTAAATGAGGATGTTTTACATTCACCGGTTAAGTCCTACATTAAATCGCTTCAAGATTACTTTGAGAAGTACTTCCTGTTGATATAGATGTGAGGAAAAATAATCTGTGGGTGATTGATCTCTTTTTAGCTACCGACGATAATAATCTGTCTATTCAGGAAAATGAACAGCTTATTGAAATTTCATCCGATGATCATTTAAAAGTGATAAAATCTCACTGCGAAAATGTTGCAGATTTTTAGATAGGATTACTTGATTAAAGTCCACTGCTAAGTGAAAAAGCTTTGAAACTTCTTCTTTCTTTTGATTCCACTTATCTCTGTGAGGCATCATTCTCAACATTATATGTCATCAAGAATAAACACAGAAATAGGTTGCTAAATTTAAATGCTCCCATGAGACTGGCGTTAACTTCTTTCGAGCCAAATATTGAGAAACTTTCAAGTGAGAAGCGAGACCAAGGGAGTCATTAACGTACTTATTTGGCGCTATCTATGACTTTTTATTTTGTTTTTT